GAATAGAGTAATTTAAATTGACCCTTTAGATCTGTCGGGTGAATAATTTAAGAAGGAATCCCCAGAACCACAGATCGACCACATCCCGAATACCGCGCCCTCGCCACAGGGACCTCTCCTGCCAGCCAGCACGCTCTCTCAGCACCCGTGCTCTTTGCCCCAGGCAGAGGAAGCGACTCGGAATCTGACTTGCCGCATCGGAAGCTGCCGGATGTGAAGAAGGATGACATGTCCGCGCGGCGCACTTCCCACGGCGAGCCGAAGTCAGCAGTGCCTTTCAACCAGTACCTCCCGAACAAGAGCAATCAGACGGCCTACGTCCCCGCGCCTCTGAGGAAGAAGAAGGCCGAGCGGGAGGAGTACCGCAAGAGCTGGAGCACCGCCACCTCCCCGCTGGGAGGGGAGAGGCCCTTCAGGTAAGGCCTGAGCGTGAGTGGAGTAGGAGCTGCAGCTCCGGACGTGGACGAGGTTCAGTAACCCGTTCGGAACCTCGATGTCAGATTACAGATGGAGTGGGCAGGACAGATCCAGAGAGAGAGTTTGTCAGGACGGAATATAAGCTTCGTGAGTGTGTCTAGAACAGTGCCTGGCGCGTGGTAGGCATTGAACAAATGCTTGTCTAACAAGCAGATGTTTGAAGCAGGTTGTACGGATGGGACGTGGAGAACAGATCGGTGGTCCATGCCCTTCTGCCGAGAGGGCCTGACTCGCAATCCTGTCCGATTAGGTATAGAAAGACTCTTATCTTTATGCAAAAAGACATTTTAAAAATCTAGATGCAAGTTTATGTAGATTCAAGCTCATGTGTGTGAGCAATGCGTGGAATGTACATCACAATCGCATGTAGAAAAGTCATAAGAAACGGAAGATACATCATTTTCTCATCTCTTTAGAGGAAGTGTTTTCCTTAATCTCAGATGATATTTTTGTATTTATTTATTCATTTATTCAGCAAACATCAATACTTACTGAGCATCTACTACATGATAGATACTGTCATCTAGGCCTTGGGGACCCAATAATAAATAAGGCAGAGTCTCTGCCTTCAACAACCTTATAATAAAGGAAACTTTTCTAATAATCTATCTTTACTATGATTTTCCATGAAATAAGTATTTTATCAAAATTTTTAATTACTGAACAAAACTAATGAATTTTCCCTCTCCAGCAGAAAAGGGTTTTGCGTTTCAATATCAAGTATGTAATAGCTCTTGATCCATGTCGAGAGTATGATACATTAATTAACAACTGGCTACACTGAATTTTCTCCACCTTGTCAGGATCACACTGTGTGCTGTGACTTCTTTTTTTAAGGGAAAGGTAATATCAGAGTGGTGGGGAGATGACGTGTGGGGCCCGGTCTGTCAGTCTGGCAAACCACATTGTCCAACTCGCTAGCTATCCTGAAACAATAGAGGAAGAGGCAAGTGAAGTGGGGTCTGCTGGTGAAGAGGACCATCCCGGCGGGAAGCCTCCCGGCGGTGGGTTAGAACTACCCAGCGGCAGTGGTAAGGAGCACCCTTCTTCAGAGGGCGCTGGGCTGGCACCGGCTCCCAAGTCTGAAGAAAAAGATGCGGCTGAAACCCAAAAGCGCAGGAGGCTAGAGCAAGCGGGGATCAAGGTCATGCCAGCGGCACAGCGCTTTGCCAGGTTAGCTCTGCCGGCTCCGGGCTGGCCTGGCTGGCTTTCTGCATGCCTGGGGGTTTGGAATCTGTCTAGAGAGTTGGAGTTTTCCTCTTGTTTTCCCGCTTCCTGCTTTTCCTATTGCATCACTGTCTGCTACTCTGAGCACATAGAAATAGAAAATAGTCTGTGCCTTAGGGCATGTCTCTGCTAAGTACCCGGTTATTTTAAGTGAAGGCGAACCTTGTCTTCAACCATGTATTTGTGGTCAGTCATTTGTGGGCTGCAGCCTGGCAATAATAGTTTATTTTTCTATTGTCTGTGGCTTGTACATTTTGACACTACTCCTAAATGGCTCCTATCTTAGTTTACACATCACTAGAAAATAGTCAGTTTCTTGGAAATGGGGAACACACTCTTTAGAGAATGGCTGGCTTACAAAAATCCACTTACTTTCTTTGTCCCAAGAGAGTACTAAGTTTATTTGACTCTTTATTTTCTAAAGCGTGTTGATTCAAAAAAAAGAATGGAGTAATTACTTCTCTTAATGGTAACAAAGGTACTGGGATACAGTCCTGATGGCTTCATATTACATGTCAGATGGAGACCTTCGACAATCAAAGCCTCAGAGAACTATAGTCCTACAGTTTTCTGTAGCGTTTTTAGAAGCTGGTTAGTTAATTTTTTTTACGTAATAACCACAATGATCCTAACAAATAATAATGCAGCCAAGATTTATTTGACAAATTGACATTCATAACCATTTGACAATCAAAATCCCTTTGCCACTTGCTATTCCATTTATTTTTAAGAGTCAGGTGATGTAACTGTTTTCCAGAAAAGGAAACAGGAGCAGTGGTAGTAAGTGTCTTGCAGAGCTGGTCACCACTGACCTGGGGGCCAGATTCCGATGCTCTGACCACAGTACCACACCTGCCTCCCACACATTTCTTGGAACATTTTCCATTTCTCTGTACAGCTCCGTGTGTGGTTATTTCTGGGGTCCAGGTCTTAATTAAAATATCCAGCACTGACTTCTATGGATTTAATCCTAGGGTAGCTTTGTATTGACAAAAAA